CGTTCAGGGTGATAGAGCAAGTCCAGCTTAGGAAATCTAGACAACATTTGACACGCTCTGAAAGGGTGCATGATGGAGGCAAATACCTTGGGCCCGTATAGATCCTTCCCCCCTCTACCCCTGCATGGAGCCTTTCAACCAGCACAGTGTACTCACTCGGTTCTTTATCCTTCCAATGTTCAACCATCAACGGTCCCGTAGCGGAGCCAGCATAGACGGAACTTAGCCTCGACAGCGGGACCCAGGGTTCCCTCTCGAATCGGTGTGAGAAGGTAGTCCCAGTTTGGGGGGCTGGTGGTGGCTTCTGACAAGGCCAGGGAGAATCCAATGCAGAGGAGACCACCATAGTAGCCACTTCTTGAGCCAAAGCGCTTAACTCATACCACGCCATCTCTAACACCTTCGAATCCTCGAATAGTAGCACTCTGGCCGCTGTAGCCCCACGAGCCACCGCTAGACCCGGACACTGTCCCACATCGCTGACCGCGCGCCACGAAATATGAGCGTCCTTGACAATATCCTTAATAGCACTGCGGTCCCTTACGAATACCACTTGAGCCACAACATACAACTTCTCTACCGGACCGATCCACCTACAGGTAGGCCATGCATCAGCAGGGAAACGATCTAGTACTCTCTGCTTCATACCACACCATTTATACTTTTCAACTACCCTAGGATCCGCCTCCACCAACTCGTGATGCTTCAACCGTACCAAGAGGGCATTCAAGTGAGCCAGCTTAGCCCCTCCGACCAGTACTGAGACCATCGATGATATGGACACCTCTGGCTGAGTGATATCAATACTCTGCGAACTACTGAGTACCAATGGCAACCTAACAAGGACCTTAGGGCGGATGAGGCTGAGCCAATGAGCTCCTCGTATAATCGATGAGTCAATAGCCAGGACGTACACCGGGTCCTTGAGGACCTCCTCAACTGCATTCACAATATCAACGGCCTTGATCGGACTCAGTGTCCAACACTGCCAGAAGTCGCACAATTCGCTCTCATCGATGTTGTCATAGTCAAGACCATGAGTAACAAACCTTTCCTCTTGAATCGGATCAGGCATGAACAACCCTTTACTCTTCAAAGAGATGGGACCAAACATTTCTATCTCCCATAGATTCCTCTCCACTTCAAACACCTCCAAGGTGTGGTCATCAAATAACACATTTAAGTCAAAGTCGGCGAACTTCATAACATAACCATCGGAATCTTCTACTCCTTCTGGAAGAATACAAACCAGGTCCACATCGTCCGGATGCAGTCTCCACGTAGTGTGAGTATCTTTAAAATCTTCCCTGTGCGCTCTCCTCTCAATTTCCTCATTCAAGGCCTTCGTCG